GAGAGAGAGAGAGAGAGAGAGAGAGAGAGAGAGAGAGAGAGAGAGAGAGAGAGAGAGAGAGAGAGAGAGAGAGAGAGAGAGACTCCTTTTTTTTTGGGGGGGGGAGAGAGAGTGTGTCTCCTTTTTTTGGGGAGGGTTTAATTTTCCAAATACCCCCATAAGTTGAGATATATATATGTCAAAATGTCCCTGAAAGATATGGGCACCGTGGAATGGCCTTTTGGACTGACATGGCTGTGTTATGCCCCTGTCAGTTGGGTATGCCAATTCGCTTGCCCTTTTGCAATTGCACCTACGAAAACTTGGCAACTGCCGGGACATTTTGCAAAGTTGGCAGCGTCCGGTAGGGGTACATTGCAAAGATTTGGTCCAACTGATGGCTGGGGTGTTTGGCGAAATGTTTTTGTCATCGTCCTCCGCGGCGGGTCCACTTGTTTTTTTTAATTCCTATATGGAGGCTCGCAAGAGTCAGAGCTGCGGTGGAGCCTCCCAGGCTGAAAAGCATGACTGCAATCAGAAAATTTCTCTTCGTAGATCATCTCCAGTGTGACCTGCATAGCTTTTTGGACTATCTTGAAGATAAAGCGGCCTCTTACAATGTCGGTCGCTTTGTCCGGCGCGAAGCTCCTGCTGCTCCTGCTCCTGCTGCTCCTGCACCTGCTGCTCCTGATCCTGCTGCTGCTGCTGCTCCTGCTGCTGCTGCTGCTGCTCCTGCTCCTTCTTCTCCTGCTCCTGTTCCTCCTGCTGCACTTGCTACACCTGCTCCGGCTTCTCCTGCTCCTGCTCCTGCTTCTCCTGCTCCTGCTCCTGCTTCTGCTCCTGGTCCTCCTACTCCTGTTGCTAATGCTCCTGCTCCTTCTCCTGCTCCTGCTCCTACTCCTGCTCCTGCTCCTGCTCCTGCTCCTGCTCCTACTCCTACTGCTGCTGTTGCTACTGCTCCTCCTCTTGCTCCTCCTTCTCCTGCTCCTGCTCCTGCTCCTGCTCCTGCTCTTGCTCCTGCTCTTCCTGCTCCTGCTCCTGCTCCTGCTCCTGCTCCTGGTCTTGCTCCGGCTGCTCGTGCTCCTGTTGGTCCAGATACTCCTGCTTCTCCTGCTCCTGCTTCGGCTGCTCTTGCTACGATTGCTACGACTGCTACGCCTGCTCCTGCTACGACTACTCCTGCTACGACTACTTCGACTGCCCCTGCTACGAGTGCTATGCCTGCTACGCCTGCTCCTGCTACGCCTGCTCCTGCTACGCCTACTCCTGCTACGCCTGCTCCTGCTACGACTGCTTCGACTGCCCCTGCTACGACTGCTACGACTGCTTCAACTGCTACGACTGCGACTACTGCTACGATTGCAACGACTGCTACTCCTGCTCCTGCTAGGACCGCTACTTGTGCTCCTACTCCCGCTACTCCTAGTATACTACTCCTGCTACTCCTTCTACTCCTCCTGCCCATGCTCCTAGTGCTGCTCCTGCTCCTGCTGCTCTTGCTCCTGCTCTTGCTACCCCTGCCCCTGCTGCTCCTGCCCCTGCTCCTGCTCCTGCTCCTGCTCCTGCTACTGCTCCCTGTGCCCCTGGTGCTCCTGCTACTCCTACTCCTGCTCTTGCTACTCCTGCTACTCCTACCACTCCTGGTCCTGCAACTCCTGCTACAACTGCTACGACTGCTACGACTGCTACGGCTGCTACTCTTGCTCCCACTAGGACTGCTACTCCTGCTCCTGCTACTCCTGCTCCTCCTGCTACTTCTGCTCCTCTTGCTCCTCCTGCTCGCCCTGCTCCTGCTCCTCCTGCTCCTGCTCCTGCTCCTCTTCCCGCTGCTCCTGCTCCTGCTCCTGCTCCTCCTGCTCCTGCTCCTGCTCCTCTTCCCGCTGCTCCTGCTCCTGCTCCTGCTCCTGCGCCTGCTCCTGCTGCTCGTGCTACGACTACTACTACTGCTACTACTATTGCTACTGCTACTACTACTACTACTGCTACTACTACTACTACTACTACCGCTACCACTACCGCTACCACTACTGCTACCACTACTGCTACCACTGCGACTACTGCTACTGCTGCCACTGCCACTGCTACTGCTACTGCTACTGCTACTGCCACTGCCACTGCCACTGCTACTGCTACTGCTACTGCTACTACTACCGCTACCACTACTGCTACTGCTACTGCTACTGCTACTGCTACTGTTACGGACTTCGCCAGGGCTCGATCCCTGGTCTATCTTTTGCGGTTTCGGCTGCATCCCATTTTTGGCCTGGCACCCTTTTTCCAAACCCCTCCTTTGGTACCGTAGGATTTTGGACAACTGGCGCCATGCTGCAATTCGGGCGCGACTTTCAAATACTGCATTTTTCAGTTCTGCCCTCGGGGCCTTTGCAGAAATGCCCCTGGTACCGTACGTGTCACCGGTACTTCTACCGGCTTCCCGTACGGTACGGGGACCAGTCTCGTACCAGTTTTCTGCTGCTGTACTCGTACTCAGTGTGACTTGCTCGTGTTCGGCCTTTGGAATCCAAGACTTCGACTTTGTGTCCTTGCCCGTGTGTCTTCGTCCGACCCTGAGTCGTGTCGAGTGAGTGAGTGTGTGTGTGTGCTCTCACGCTCTCTCTCTCTCCTCTCCCTCGGCTCTCCCTGTCTCCCTCAGCCTCTCGCTCATTACACTGGTATCGGAGCGGTTCGAACCCGCCCGACCCACCCTGCTTCGACGTCGTCACCTGGCCATCATCAACATCATCGTCGAGATCGTCGTTGYYGTGCCACGTCATCATCGTCATCATCGCGATCGTCGTCATTGTGCCCCGTCATCATCGTCACCAACGGGATCGCCGCCGTCGTGCCACGTCATCATCACCATGCCGGTCGTCCTCGTCGCTGCGCCGCGCCGTCCTTGTCATCGCCCAGATAAGTAATCAACGACAATTTTTTTTATTTTTATTTTTTCTCCTTCTTATTTTTCTTCCTGGTTTCTTTTCTTCTTCTTCTTCTTCTCATCATCAGTTTTTCCTTCTTCCTTTTTCTTCTTCTTCTTTAAATTTTCTTCTTCTTCTTCTTCTTCTTTTCATCATCAGTTTCTTCTTCTTCCTCCTCTTCTTCTTCTTTTCTTTTATCTTCTTCTTCTTCTTCTTCTCCTTCTTCTCCTCCTCTCCGACCGTCGCGATCCCCCCCCGATCCCAATCTCCCCCC